CCACTACACCCTGCTAATTGTAGAGATAAAGTAGATACAAGGTTTCACCATGTTGGTTAGGCTGGTCTCAAACTCCTGACTTCAGGTGATCCACCTGCCTCAGCTTCCCAAAGTGCTGGGATTACAGGCGTGAGCCACCATGCCTGGCCAGTTCTGTGTCTTTAAAGAACAATGGAGACATATCAAAAGGACATCAAAGCCAAATTTGGAATGATTGAACATTAGAATAATTAATGACAAGAATGGATTATAACTTAGTAAAACTATGGAATGCCTACTAGATAGAAGAAATGATGGAATTAGGAAATCCATTAATGGATGCTGAAACTACTGAGTGAAAGTTTGGTGAGTAACTCTATGATTGTTATTTTAGAGTTGGGGTCTCACTCCGTACCCCAGCTGGAGCATGGTGGTGAGATCATAGCTCACTGCAACTTTCATGACCTCAAAATTTGATTTTAATTTTAATGGCAAGGTCCTGAAAGTCAAAGGCTGAGGAACGGTTCCAGATTAATGGAAACTAAAGGGACGTGAAACTCAAGGCACTCCCGGATTTGATCACAGTCCAGGGAGAAAAAGAGAGCCATAAGACAGATTATTGTGATAGTTAGCAGTATTCGATGGCGTTCTGTGACTTGATAACAGCATTATGTTAATGTTTAATTTCTGGTTTTGATAATTGTGGTTATGTAAGTTTTTGTTTTCAGGAAATCTCTATCACTTTAAAATTTCAATTGTGATATATTTTTTCTTTTGCTCATTAAAATTTTTATTGCTCTTTTCTTTAATACTTTTTTTTTCTTCTTTGGGCAACAGAGTCTCTTTCTGTCATTCAGGCTGGAGCACAGTGGCACAATCTTGGCTTACAGCAACCTCTGCCTCCCAGGTTCAAGCGATTCTCCTGTCTCAGCCATCTGAGTAGCTGGGATTACAGGCACCCACCACCGCACCCAGCTGATTTTTGTATTTTTAGCAGAGACAGGGTTTCACCACGTTGGCCAGGCTGGTCTTGAACACCTGATCTCAGCCTTGGCCTCCCAAAGTGCTGCAATTATAGGCATGAGCCACCATGCCTGGCCTCTTGTACTTTTTTAATAAAAATTTGAAAATAGGCTGGGTGCAGTAGTTCACACCTGTAATCCCAGCACTTTGGGAAGCCAAGGTGGGAGGATCATGAGGTCAGGAGATTGAGACCATCCTGGCCAACATGGCAAAATCCCATCTCTACTAAAAATACAAAAATTAGCTGGGTGTGGTGGTGCATGCCTGTAATCCCAGCTACTAAGGAGGCTGAGGCAGGGGGGTCACTTGAATCCAGAAGGCAGAGGTTGAAGTGAACCAAGATCACGCCACTGCACTCCAGCAAGACTCTGTCTCAAAAAAAAAAATAATAATTAAAAATAATATTACTGTTATGGGCTGAATTACTATTGGAGATAGATGTTGGAAATAGATTCTTGGTGCTGTGAAGAAAAATTAGCACTGAAATAAAGGATCTTTCAGCAATGCAATTTTTACTTCCTGCACTGCAGGAAGGGTACCCTCACTAGCCATTGTGCCACGGGAGTACAATGAACAAGAAAAAAGACACGCAAATTTATTCCTTACGCATTTAGGGTCATCCTTACTGCTGTGTCTTATCTCCATTGGCTGGAGCCAGACCTCACAATCTAAACTAAAATCCGATTGGCTAACAACTTAAAACTTTTCTAAATAGATAAAAGCAATGGGGAGCTGGGACATGCCTGTGAACATGTTCAGCACAGATATTGTGGTTAGAGTACACAGACATAGAATGTACTATGTGCCTGTAAGCAAGCCATGTTTAACAGCTGCATAACATAGGGCTTATCAAAAAGTTATTAGCATACTTACTCTTTAACAAGAAAGGAAACTTTAAAAAGGAACTTTTCTACTTCCCAGTTACCTCCTCCCAAAATTCACGTGTTGAAGTCCTAACCCCAGCACATTATTCTACCAGTTGTGTCTGCAGTGGGAAAAAAATTACATATATATTGCTTAGCTTTGAAATCTGGGTAGCAAGCACAAAACTAGCCACTATGCAAACGTCAATATTGTCATTGTTAGATAAAAATATTCAGTGGAAAAGAAGCTGTAGAGAATTTCTGGGATATAATCTGGCTTTAGTTTGGGGTAAGGTCATGAGACAGTCCTGGGAAACAGGGGTCTCGCTGCATTTGGGGCATCTGTGATAGGGCTAGGACTTGCATATCTGGCAGGAGTATGATCAGAGAAATAGGGCTGCTCTAAATTTTGCTTTTCTAAGCTTAGTGTGGCTTATACCCAGCTTTTAGGCAAATATCAAAGTGAATCATGTTGTTGGATGGAATGAAAGTACTCAGGCAGACAGGGAAGGGCTGTCAGAAGTCTCATGATCAAAACAAATCACATGTAGAAAATAATCTGAGGCAAGCTAACATAATTAATTCTCAGGTTAAAAGGATAACAAAACAGCAGCAGGGATTCTGATGATGATACCTCTCCTTCTCTTGGTCATGATGGTCCAATCTGGTTGGACTGGCTGCCCTCTTTGTTTGGGCTCTGTCCCTGCCCTGAGACATCCCCTGCCATCATCTTGGGGACCCTCTTTTCTGGTATGCATTGCTGCATCTCTTGTTTCCTGGTTTATACTCTCACCGAGGTTGAGTGTATTCTTCAAGAAGGGTGCATGTCATGTTGCATGTCTGAAAATGTCATTATTCTACACTTTTTGATAGATAGTTTGGCTGGATATAGAAATCCTGGGTGTTGGCCGGATGTGGTGGCTCATGCCTGTAATCCCAGCACTTTGAGAGGCTGAGGTAGGTGGATCACGAGTTCAAGATCAGTCTGACCAAGATGGTGAAATCCCATCTCAACCAAAAATACAAAAATTAGCCGGGTGTTGTGGTGGGCCATTTGAGCTACAAAACTCCCCTGCTGATAGTGGTCCCCTCTGAAATTCCTGACTCTTGACTCATCCTCTGAGCAGGCATTTGAAAGGCATGAGCTCATGGCCAGACCCCTCCTTTTTTAGTTAAATGGAAATAAACTTGTTATATTTTTCTTATTGCAAAAGTCACGTATGGTCAGGTAAAAGATGTAGAGAAATAGTAGACAAGCAAGAAAGTAAAAATCAGCTTTAATCTATAGATAACTACTGATCATTGACCATGCTTTAGTGTATACTGCATATGCTGCCTGGGCTGCTCTCTCTCTCTCTAGGTTTATACTCTCACTGAGGTTGATTAATCTTTTCTGTCTCTTCAGATTATTTAAGGATCAATTTAGAGAACTAGGATTAATGGGTTAATGATCATCACATCAATCTAAGGCATTTTCTTTTAATCACAAAATTATACCAAATTCTCTCTTTCTCTCTCTGTCCCAGTATGTGTGTATGTGTGTTTGTCTCCACGTACATCTAGTATCATAATTGCTGTGTTAATATGAAATGACAGGTGAGTTTCTTTCAAATCATATCCAAGCTGGATACTCTTGGAATTAATTGATCACTCAGCCATACTCTAAGGAAGGTAGGCTCTCTTCTGGAAGGCTTCTCCAACCAAATGTGTCAGTTCATCCTCCGGGAAGAACAGTGGAGCAGGGACGCAGGGATTCTGGCCCCCTGGCTCCTTCCTGACCTTTGTTTCTGGGTCATGACACCCCCGGCTGTTTGAGGTAGACCACCGCATTCATTGCTGCCATTCATAATTCAGGGTGACTTCAGCTCAACAGTTACACTGAAGCCAGGAGTTAAGAAGCAAGTGCTAGGCTGTTTCCCCGGCAACTGGCTTCCGCGGGCAGTTGTTGTGGCCACTGATGATCCAGTTACCACTGCGAGGCAGAGTGCTCAGCAGAATGAACTAAAATGAGCTTTTTCCAGGGGGCTTTGGCAGAAATCCAGTCCAGATAGTTGCTTAGGAATCCTCTGGCCCTAATGTCAGGGAGACCAAGGAAACTTAAAAGATGTAATTCTCTGCGGCTTTCATATCTGCAGGCACTTCCTCTTGTCCCCCTCCCCGCAACCCCAGGCTTCCCTCCTAAACCATAGATCTGAGGGCACTGTGCTCTTGGTTAAATGGCCTTTGACACTTCCTTGAAAAGAGAGCAAAGCCCAGGTTCCTCAACATATCACTCTGGAAACCTATGGCTGACCCCAAGTGGGCTCTTGGTTACTTCTCACTGTATTATTTCAGGTCTAGCTTCACCAGAGACCCACCTTGCTAGACACACAAAGCATTCTCCGCAAACTTGACTGAGGGCATTTTTTCATCTATTTTCGAATTTGACTGCATAGCCTTCAAAGTCTTAGTTAAAACAATAAAAAGGTCAACTTTTAATAAAGTTCTCCTACTGAGACTCATATCATTTTCATTTCTCTTTATTATCTTCTCTTTAATTGTTAAATGATCCTTTTTGAGGTAGAGGGAACTCAATCATTTCCCAACAGCTTTATTCTAATTGGAGCAGCATTTCAATGTGAGAAATGATGCATCACATTTATGATTTCCAGGTTTTTGTTTTTAAATTTTTTTTTTAGAGGTGGTGTCTCATTAGTTGCTCAGGCTGGACTCAAACTCCTGGGCTCCAGCAATCCTCTTGCTTCAGCCTCCCAAGTAGCTGAGTGGACAGGTGCATGCCACCATGCCCAGCCTCATTTCCAATTTTAACTTAATAATTGGCTGAGTTTATAATTACATTGTTTCATTGGATGCCCACAGCCCCTGAAATCAGTCAGAGACTAGGGTTGAGTGAGTGGAAGTGACTTGAGAATAAACAGAAGGATTCAGACATGAGGGATTTTGAATGGATTGATTTTGTTTGTTCTTGAGACAGGGTCTTCCTCTGTCTCCCAGGCTGGAGTGCAGTAGTGCGATCTCAGCTCACTGCAACCTCTGCCTCCTGGGTTCAAGTGATTCTCCTACCTCAGCCTCCTGAGTAGCTGAGATTACAGGCGCCTGCCACCACATCTGACTAATTTTTGTTTTTTGTTTTAGTAGAGACAGGGTTTCACCATATTGGTCATGCTGGCCTCGAACTCCTGATCTCAAGTGATCCACCCACCTCGGCCTCCCAAAGTGCTGGGATTACAGACGTGAGCCACTGCGCTGGCCATGAATGGACTGATATTGAATGTAGCCAATGCACAGGTATTTATGACATTATATTTTACTTTATTTGTAAACTGCAGGGTTACCAGGAATTATACATACTTAGATAAGGCACTCAGTATTTCTTTCTCATTGTTTATATGCATTTCACCTAAATTTTAATATGCAACCGTGCATGTGTGTGTGTGTGTGTGTGTGTGTCTGCCTGTGTGTGCATAAGCTCATATTTTTTCTTTTTTCCTTTATATTATATCATAGGATTTTTCTCATGCTTTTATACAGGTTTTATAAATGTTTTAATGGTTATATTATAGTCCATCATATAAATGAGCTAATTTGACTCAACTATTACTCTAATAATATCTTAAATTGTTTCTAAGGAAAATTCTTAAATTGTTTAAGTGATAGAGATAAAATTTTGTGCATTAATCTTTTCTGTCTTTTCAGATTATTTAAGGATCAATTCGGAGAAGTAGAATTAATGGGTTAATGATCATTGAATCATTCTAAGGCCTTTTCTTTTAATCACAAAATTATACCAAATTATTCCCTTTAGCAGTTTCGCAGTCTAACCATTGAATATGGATAATAATGTATGTAACCCTTTTCAAATTCCATACGTAAGACGGAAATTATTATTGTTTTAATTTGCACTTTGATTTATAGTATGGTTGAATGTAGTTTCTTTTGTAAATAGTTTGCTTACGTTTTCTGTCCTCACTGAACTACAGGGTCATGTTTGCCTTAACCAGTGTGCACAAATCATTAATATTAAGGTTATAACCTCTTATGTTTGCTACACGCTCCCTCTTTGTCATATTTAATTTTAAACATAAAATTGTTTTTAATTTGACATTTTTTACATTTTCAATGCAGTCTACAATATGAACATTCTACTGTGTAATTTTTTCCATTAATATTAAGCTGAAACATTTTTTCCCACCTAGAAAATGAATATCTTTATTTTCTTCTGCTCCCTGTAAGTTTGTATTTAAATATTTTCTTATTTATTTATTTGAGATGGAGCCTTGCTCTGGCCTCCAGGCTGGAATACAATGGTGTGATGTCTGCTCACTGTAACCTTCACTTCCCAGGTTCAAGGGATTCTCCAGCCTCAGCCTCCTGAGTAGCTGGGACTACAGGTGCCCGCCACCATGCCCGGCTAATTTTTGTATTAGACACGGGGTCTCACCACATTGGCCAGGCAGGTCTTGAACTCCTGATTGCTGGTGATTCACCAACTCAGCCTCCCAAAGTGCTGGGATTACAGGTGTGAATCACTGCACCTGGCCTAAATATTGTCTTTTTTAAATTCACATATCCAGAACTGGTGGCTTTCAGAACCTCATTCTAGGTCATGTGATTAACTAATTTATTCATTCATTTAATCATCCATGAGTTCAAGAAATAATTATTTGGTGCCAATTCTTAACTCTGTGCTAGGAATTGGAACACCAGCATTTCCTTTCGTGACAAGCAAGTGTAGACACAACTCCGAGAGGTTCTGTTCGGCGTCTCGGGAAAGTGGTCCAGGGACCGGGGACACCTAGGGAAGAATGAAACTCACCAGGGCTCGGGAAACGAGGTGATTCAGACGCAGGGTTTTAAGCTTCAGATGGAAGGGTGAGGAAAGCGTGTTTGAAGAGGGGCAGGTATGCTGAGTTTTAAGGCTGTGAGGAGGAGGAAGCCTCCCGCACCAAGGCCTCAAGGTAGGATGGGCTAAAGGTGTCCAGGGGACAGGTGGGACTAGACGCCAGCCCAGCTCAGGGAGAGACCAGGTGAAGAGGCAGGCAGCCTCCTGGGATTCCATTCCATGGCAGGCGCAGTGTGCAGGGAGCACAGCTAATCTAGGATTACATCTGGATCGTCACAGTACAGTAGATATTCTCACAGGACGTAGATTCTTATATTTGAATATACAGATTGTTATACTAGATTAGATCTGCTATACACTATGGGCCTAATCTATATCTTGGTTACATTTTCTCCATCTCCAGGGCTGCACCCCACAGAGGGGCAGGAGTGGAGCAGAAGCTCTGGCCGTCAAGCAGGAAGTGACGGTGGCCTGGATCAGCACAATGGCTGCTGAGTGGGAAAGGGGACAAGTACGAAGGCTACATGGAGGTAGCTTGCTCAAGAACTGGATGTGGTGCATGAAGAGAAGGGAGAAAGAAAGACGAATTCTTGGGCTTTGGTCTGAAATTGGGTGAATGTACCATTTACTAGGATTGAGGCAGAGGGCAAGTGAAGAATTTTGTTTCAATTTAAACTTTGAGATGACACAGGTATTGAGACGGTAAGGGGTAGAAATTTGGGTTTGGAGTTTGTGGGGGGATTCTGGGTTGATTTTGAATTTGGAAGCAGGTAGGTGTTATTTAAAGTCCATAGTGTAGGCTGGGCGTGGTGGCTCATGCCTGTGATCTTAGTACTTTGGGAGGCCAAGGTGGGCAGATCACTTGAGGTCAGGAGTTCAAGACCAGCCTGGCCAACATGGTGGAAATCCCATCTCTACTAAAAATACAGAAATTAGCCAGGCATGGTAGTACACACTTACGTCCCATCTACTCGGGAGGCTGAGGCAGGAGAATTGCTTGAACCCAGGAGGCGGAGGTTGTGGTGAGCTGAGATTGTACCATTACACTCCAGCCTCAGCAACAAGGGTGAAACTCTGTCTCAAATAACAATAATAATATAATGTTTGTGAGTGGTCTTTCCCATCCTCCTCATTGCCATGAAACTTCTCTGAAGAGGGGATTTATGATGGGGCTACTCTCAGTTTTCTTCCTGGGAGTAGAAACTACCTAAGGGGAGTTTATGACAGCCTCAGTTTTAAAGTTTCTGCTCGCAGTCCGATAAGGAGTGCTCTGGCTTCTTTCTGCATCTGTTGACTCTCAAATGTCTTCAGCATAAAATAGTCTTTATGCCAACTCTAGTGTTCCTAGTGGGTCCCCACAGTAGCTTGTCCAGATATGGGGCAGAGGGGAAGGGCGAAGGGAGCTTAAATGCTGTCATCAAACAGGCACCTCATCCCACCTGCCGACCCCCGGGGCTCTGGTACAGAGATGCCTTGCAGCAGAGTGGAGAAGTCAGCTGTCCAGGGCGGCAGCAAAGCCAAGAGAGGAGGAGAGAGAGGAGCCAAATGGCCAGAAGGTTTCAAAGCAGAGGAGGGTCCCCTGGGTTCAATGTGATAAGGAGGCTGAGGCATTCTCTGGATTTGCCACAGGTGGGCTGGAGATAGGAGTGGTTTCAATGGAGTGGTAGAGCCGGAAGCCTAATTGAAGAGTTTGTTAGAGAAGTGAGGGGTGGCAGAATATGCCACCCCAAAATATGCCACTTTGTCATAAGGACTATTTTGGACTGAAGGCAATTGAGAGACAGCAGACAGAAGAAACGCTCCCTCTCGTGCCCCTGTTTCCATAACATAAAAACAGAAATTGGTAAAGGTGCCCTCCTCCCCTCTCAACCAGGAAGGACAGAAGTTCATTGTTAATCAAAGGAGACGGCTTCAGACTCTCGGCAGCCTGGAGACAGCACCAGAGGAACCCACACAGCAAGCCTTGCCAACCACCCATATCCTCTCATTAGTCTTCCCCTACATTTGCCTTTCCACAATTTGCAGCTCCTAGAAAACTCAGTCCTTGGCCTTGGCCTTGTCACTTCTCTGGTGTACTGCTCTTTGTTAAGATGCTACACAACTAGCTGGGCGAGGTGGTTCATGCCGGTAATCCCAGCACTTTGGAAGGCCAAGGCTGCTGAGTCACAAGATCAAGAGATCGAGACCACCCTAGCCAACATGGTGAAACCCTGTCTCTACTAAAAATACAAAAAAATTAGCTGGATGTGGTGACGCGTGCCTGTAGTCCCAGCTACTAGGGAGGCTGAGGCAGGAGAATCACTTGAACCCAGGAGGCAGAGGTTGCAATGAGTCAAGATTGAGCCACTGCACTCCAGCCTGGTGACAGAGTAAGACTCCATCTCAAAAAAAAAGATACTACATAACCGCTCCTTTCGGTTACTCATCTTTGAGTTTGGTGTGTCTGCACCGCACACGTTAATAAACTTCTGTTTGTTTTTCTCTCATTCAGCTGTCTTTTGTCCATCTAGTTTGCAGGGCCCTAGCCGAAAAACCTAGGAAGGTGGTAGGAAACGGAGTTTCTTCCTCCTCTAGGGTAGTGAAGATGCAAGTGTAGACAGATGCTAAACGAGTTTGATCATGAAATGAGTAGGTGTGGGGTCAGGACAGTTGTTTCTAAATGACGGGAGCTGCTAAAACAGGTTAGTATTGGCCGGATGCGGTGGCTCATGCTTGTAATCCCAGCACTTTGGGAGGCCGAGACGGGGGGATCACCTGAGGTTAGCAGTTCGAGACTAACCTGGCCAACATGGTGAAAGCCTGTTTCTTAAAAGAAAGAACAACAACAAAAGAACAGGTTAGTATGCCAAAGAGCGACAGGTTTCCCCAGGAGAGGGCGGTAATAGGGTAATGATGAGGGTGGGAAGTTTTCCTCTAAGTGAGAGGACCCGGAGCTGGGGAGGGAGGTGCCTTGACAGGACATATGTGTCGCGTTGGAGGAAGAGGGGTTCCTCCTTATGCTTTTCTTGGCTGGAGCATAAGGGGATTCATTAGCTGTGAGCTAGGTGGGGTGGTGGAATCTTAGGACAAGGGATGACATTGGCATTTCGTATGCCCCTGTACTGTTCTCCACCCTCCTGGCTACAGAGGGCAAACATCTAATGAGAGTTGGAGCCATCTATGAATTAGCTCCAGGGAAAATATCGAGAGATAAATCCAACCACATGGAGGGCTGGCCTCCTTTACTGAAGTACTGTACCTCAGCAGTAAGCAGTTAGACACATGCGCCTTCACCTTGTTTTGGTCTTAGGCCCTTTTGAGATTCTGATGAAAGCTATAGAGTCACTCCCCAGAAAAATGTACATGTCGTTTGGGGAATTTACCAAACTGGGGGAACTCTAGGCCTCCTGATTCAGATCCCTTATGCTGGAGGATATGCCCATGGGCAGACGGGGCACACAGCCCTGGCCTTTTCTTGCAAAAGTGGCAGATGCCGTCATGTCCATATAGAAGTCAGTCTGCTCTTGTCCCTTGAGATCTGGTTAACGCAGGCGACATGTGGCTTCACAAGATTCCAGCCTCCCTCCATCCCCGCCCCCCATCCTCACCACAGTTGGAACTTTAAAGCTCTGAACACAAAGAGTGGCTTCATTACCCATTGTTGACTAAACCTTAGATAAAATTCAAATTCTCAGAACAACCCACAGTTTTTCCTTAGTGGTCCTTTTTTCTGAGCAAGAATTTGATTTCATTTTCCCAAAGAGCGTAAATCCTTCATTTCATTTACTCAGAAAATATTTTTGGAGAGTTGGGACACCCCAGGCATGGTCCCAGGAGCTGAGGAGACTTCCTGGCCAAGGCAAACGGGAGCCTCTGTCATGGTGGGGGACGGAGCAGAGATCAGAAAGTACACTGTAAAATGATGACTTTAAATAGATGTAACTGCTAGAAAGAAAATACTCTACATGAAGGTGTATCAGAAAGATCTCTCTCTTGGCCGGGCGCAGTGGCTCACACCTGTAATCCCAGCACTTTGGGAACCCAAGGCAGGCAAATCACAAGATCAGGAGTTCAAGACCACCCTGGCCAAGATGGTGAAACCCCATCTCTACTAAAAATAAAAATTAAAAAATTAGCTGGGCACAGTGGCAGTCACCTGTAATCCCAACTACTCGGGAGGCTGAGGCAGGAGAATTCCTTGAACCCAGGAGGCAGAGGTTGCAGTGAGCCGAGATCACACCACTGCACTCCAGCCTGGCAACAGAGTGAGACTCCATCTCAACAAAATGATAATAATAATAATAATAGTAATTCTTCAAGCTGGCAGTGAAGTGAAATCTGTTAGGTTGAAGACCAGGTGGAGTTCAGCTGGTCTGGAACTAGCTAGGTGGGAAGCCTTTTCCACTGTATAGGGGGCACTTCTGGTTAGAGCAGGGGAACTCACAATTAAGCCTTTGGGGCCCGTGAGTCTAAAAGATGTCATGGCTGCACTTTGAAATTTTAGGTCTTGCAATATAGAAGCATCTTGGCTTAGGGGAAGGCCCTGGAACTCTCATGGCTGTGGACTGGTGTGGGAACTCTTCTTACAGCAAAGTAGGGGTAAATACTCTCCTGTTATAATGCATTCTACTCCAGGTGTGCACATTAGAAAGAGTGGGAGGCACTTGCCAAAGTGCCCTTCGAAAAAGGCTGTACCAGTTTATTCTCTTCTCTAATAGTGTATTTGCATACAGAGAACATCAGTTTGAGAAAGATAACATGTCATCGTAGATATTTTAACCAATTCCCATGATTATTAATAAAGGTGAAAACACATTTTTTTTTTTTTTTAGAAGAGAATTTTAAAACAGAATCAAAAGAATGGAAATCAGTTATCTGTCCTCTTCCCAGGCAGGGAGAAAACCTCCTTCCCCACAGTTTTGAGACTATGGCTAGGTGGTGAGGAAGGCAGGCTCAGCAACCCAGCCTTGGGGAGACACAGAAAGGGCCCGTCCCAGGCACTCAGCTGGACGCAAGCATAGCCTCTGGGCCACAAGCCCTGATGGCCACTGAGGTGCTGGTCTGGAATCAAGTCCTCATCTTCCCATAAATGTCACCTTTTGTCTGCAGCAGCTGGCTGGAGGATTTCAGAAAGGTGTGTGCCTCGAGCACCCAAAGGCATACCTTCCTTTCTCCTTGGCATAGGCCTTACAACACTGAGGAAAGGCCATGGTTTGGCAATGGAGCCTTCAATAGTCTTCATCCTTATAGAGCTCAGTGGCTCCTAGGGTGACAGGAGAGGAGGCGAGCTCACTTGGGAAGTCTTGGTCTTTCAGCTTCTTCCCCAGTGAAACACTATATGCTGGGGCCACAGTTCATGGCAACACGCACACACATACACTCACTCTCTCTCTCAGTCACACACACATGTTGACAACTTGGCGGCAGGTAGTTCTGGGTATCGTTGGTCTGGCATTTGCCCACTCGGCGTCTAGGTTGTCCTAAAGCTCTTTACAATCACTTTTCACTGTTTCTGGGCCATGTGGTGAGGCGCTGCAGCTTCCACTCTGTCACGCTAATCATAAAGGCACAGTGTGGGAAAGTCCCCTATTGGGATGGCTGTTGCCTGGAAGCAGGGAAGGCTAAGGGGCCCGCAGCTGCCCAAGGCTAGTGCAGACGTCCTCTGCTCTGCTCAGCTCAGCTCCTCAAAGATTGGGATCAGGTTCAGCAACTCGGTGTCTGCCATGTCATCAAATCAAGACTGCACAGGCATTCTCAGGGTGGAAGATGTAAGAAGCAGGCGAGTTGTCCAGGATGAGAGTCTTCCTCAGGTCCCTCACCAGGCGGCTGAGGTCCTTGATGTAGCAGCCCTGGTGAAACATACAGGACTCATGGAATAGGTGGGCCCGGAACACCCCACACCGGTCCAGCAGGTCCGTCACAGGGTAGGCATACTTGGCCAGGCTGGCAGTGAAGAAAACACATTCAAAGAGTTCCCCCATGTGTCTCAGGAACTCATCCACATAAGGCCTCTTGAGCACATACAGCTGGTGAGTGGTCCCTTTAATCTCTATAGGCACTATAAAGTCAGCATTGTTGATTGGCTTAAAGGAGCTGTGCACGAGGGTTTCGTCCAGGTCAATGACCACACAGATCCTTCCTTGATCTTCCTCTGTCACCTCTGGGAGCAGGCCGGTCCCCGGGATCTGGTAGAACTGGTTCTGGAGACACTGGAGCAGATCCGACTTAGCAATGGTGTTCGCTTCCTCCTTATACGCAGCGAGCTCAGTGGAGCAACCTGACTGGCCAATATGCTGGGCGCGAAAACAGCAGAAAAGGGCCTTGAAGATGTTATGTCCACGAGGCTTCTTAGGAGAGGATTTGGAGACCAGGCCTTGCTTGGTGAGCACCAGGCCGTCTTCCCTCCGCGCCTGGGTGATGATGGAGCTGTGTTCCATCTAACAATCCCGCGGGCCCGGGCTGGCTGGGTGGAAGGACGGGCGGGCACGCGGGCTGGGCTGGGCTGGGGGGCCTGGGCGGGGCCTGCTCTGGCTCCCGATACTCCGACTTCCACAGCTGTTCACGTCCCCCGTCTCGTTTCCTCCCCGGGCCGGGAAGGGAGGCGGCCTGTACGGAGGGCAGGCGGCCAGGGCAGCGGCTCCCCCGGGTGCCCCCGACCCCGATTCCCCGGCGGCAGCTCTGGGCTCCTCAGTTTGGCAAAAACACATTTTTAAAATTAATTTATTTTTCTTTGAGACGGGTTCTCGCTCTGTCACCCGAGGCTATAGTACACCAGCACCATCACAGCTCACTGCAGCCTTGAACTCCTGGGCTTAAGCCATCCTCCACCCTTAGCCTCCCAAGTAGCTAGGGCTGCAGGCACACATCACCATGCCAGCTAGTTTTTTTTGGTAGAGATGGGGTTTCACTGTGTTGCCCAGGCTGGTCTTGAATTCCTGACCTCGAGTAATCCTTTCACCTTGGCCTCCCAAGCTGCTAGGGTTATGGTATGACCCACTATACTAAGCGTGAAAACTGTTTTATATATTTGTAGGCCATTCATATGTGCCCAGACCCTTTGTCTGTTTTCTGTTGGGTTTTTTGCCTATTAGAAAAAATTGATTAATCAGAGTCAAAGTAGACGCAGACTCTGAATATAAACCCTGTACAGACATAGTGCACATACTGGATCCTCTCATTTTATACTTCGTCTGGAATTTTTGTTGTATGGAAGTTTTAAATTTCTGTGTAGTCAATTATTATACTTCTATCATTTCTGCATTTAATCTTGCTTAAGAAGATCTTTTGTATCCCAGTTTTGTAAAATGTGCTCCTATATTTTTAAAGCATTTTTTATGTTTGTGCCTTTGCTCCATGAGGAATGTGTACTTGCACAATGTGAGATAGAGATCCAAGTTTCTAATGTAATTGTTCCAGGAATTTCTATTCTTTTCCATTGTTTTATGTGTCTAATTCTGTGCCAATATTAATATTTGAATTTATAGGCTGTGTGTAATGTACATGTAGTGATGCATGCTTTTTTTTTTTTTTTAAATACAGTGACTCACTGTCACCCAGGCTGGAGTACAATGACATGATCTCAGATCACTGCAACCTCCGCCTCCTGGGTTCAAGCAATTCTCATGCCTTAGCCTCCTGAGTAGCTGGGATTATAGGCATGCACCACCATGCCTGGCAAATTTTTGTGTTTTTAGTGGAGATGGGGTTTCACCATGTTGGTCAGGCAGGTCTCAAACTCCTGACTTCAAGTGATTTGCCTGCCTCAGCCTCCCAAAGTGCTGGGATTACAGGTATGAGCCACCACGGCCCCCAGCTTACATTAATAGATGTCTTAATGTTAAAATATCCCTGCATTCTTGGGACAAGCTCTGCTTGGTTATCATATATCATTATTTTGGCTCACTCTGGATTTGATTTGATAGTATAGAGAGGACTGAAGAGCTGAGCACTGGTAATTAAAGGCAGTATTCCAAATGCCACTATTCCTTGGCCGGGTGCAGTGGCTCACATGTGTAATCCCAGTACTTTGGGAGGCTGAGGTGGGTGGATCACTTGAGGTCAGAAGTTCGAGACCCACCTGGTTAATATGGTGAAACTCCGTCTCTACTAAAAATACAAAAAATTAGCTGGGCATGCTGGCATGTGTCTATAATCCCAGCTATTTGGGAGGCTGAGGCAAGAGAATTGCTTGAACCTGGGAGGTGGAGGTTGCAGTGAGCCAAGATCACACCACTGCACTCCAGTCTGGGTGAAGAAGCAAGACTGCATCTCAAAACAACAACAAAAAACCAAAGGCCACTCCTTGTCACATTCCACTGGCTAAAACCAGTCACATGACCATGCATAACTTCCAAGCTACAGGAAGAAGTAGAAGAGAATTGAACAGTGTCTGACAGTATGAGTCTCTATCAGTCAGCGACTGCACCATCTATCATCCAGACTGGAACTTTTTTTTTTTTGAGATGGAGTCTCTCTCTCTCTGTTGCCCAGGCTAGAGTGCAGTGACAATCTCTGCTCGCTGCAACTTCTGCTGTCTCAGCCTCCTGAGTAGCTGGGACTACAGGTGCCTGCCACCACACCCCGCTAGTGTTCTTTTTTTTTTTTTCTTTTTTTTTTTTTTGATCTTAGTAGAGATGGGGTTTCACCATCTTGGCCAGGCTGATCTTAAACTCCTGACCTTGTGATCCATGCTCCTTAGCCTCCCAAAGTGCTGGGATTACAGGCGTGAGCCACTGCGTCCATCCCAGACTAGAACATTTTGAGAGTGAAAGAGCATTATTAATAATTATGCTGGGATGACATGTGTGTTAGGTTTTGAATATTTCTTCATTAGGTCCATGCATGGCTAACACCTATAATCCCAGTACTTTGGGAGGCCAAGGCAGGTATATTGTTTGAGCTAAAGAGTTCAAGACCAGCCTGGGCAACATGGTGAAACCCCATCTCTGCAAAAAAAAAAAAAAATACAAAAGTTAGCTGAGTATGGTGGTACGCACCTGTAGTCCGGGCTACTTGAAGGGCTGAGGTGGGAGGATTGCTTAAGCTTCGGAGGTCAAGGCTGCATTGAGCCATGATCTCACCATTGCACTCTAGCCTGGGAGACAAAAAAGGCCCTTTCTCTCTCCAAAGAAAAAGTATTTATTGGTTTTATTGTGAATATGTGTATTTATTCCCATTGTAATGTTTTCCCCCAAATTCATGTCCACTCAACCTGTGAATATGACTTTATTTGGAAATAGTTTTTGAGGATGTAATCAAGTTACGATGAGGTCTTCTTGGACTAAGGTAGGCGCTAACCCAATGACTGCTGTCCTTATAGGGGCCAAACTTGGACACAGACACACACAGAGCAGAGACAGCCACGTGAGGGTGAAGGTGGGGCGTGAAGTTATCTTGCCATAAGCCAAGGAACACCAAGGATTGCTGGAAACCACTAGAAGTGAGAGGAGGCAAGGAGGATTCTTCCCTGGACCCTTGGAGAGAGCATGGCCCTGCTGACACCTTGAGTTTGGACTTCTAGCCTCCAGAACTTTGAGAGAATAAATTTCTATATATTTTTTTTTTTTTTTGAGCAAACAATTTGTTATAATGAACCAGAAATACAAGATTCCACTGAAACTGGAACACTTACAATTGTTGAACTTAAACTTTCGAGGGAAATAAGGGTGAAATAAAGCTAATGAGTGGGGAAGTCCGAGATTGGTTTGGGATAAACATGAGGATAATTACATTTTAGCATGGATATTTTCTGACCTCTTCCAGCACTTCATCCGCCATCAGTCTCCATTCTGACATACCTGCCAAATCAAATGGCTTCTTCCTCTATATTATAGGTATAAACCAACCCTATAGTACCCTTCTGGACATGATACAAAGCCAAGAGAAGGGTAGAAATCTAGTACGACTCAACCCAGCACGCTGGTTATATGTGGTGTCGATGTACATGGTAGCAACCTTGATCAAATCAGAGCTGCTACCACATGTAAGCAACCACTTATGCTGCCCTGTAGTGATGTCAATGTTCTCAATTTACTAAATTATCAATGTGGAAGAATGCATCTTTGAGCTCCAGACTTTCTTAACATTTTAAAGAGGCTATTGAAGAGGATATAACAGAACCCTACCTCAGAAATCTAAGCATCAGGGAGGAACACTGTTTTTGTTTCTGGGACCTTTCTGTGGGGGCAACAGAGATCAACAAAAGAAATGTTAGCATGTCAGAGCATCTGACAAGTGAGGGAAGGCAGAGGTAGGAAGAGGGTGTTCTAGCCACAAGGCTAATGCATCAAAAAGAAGTCTGGGTAAAGGAGGGGAAACTACCCCACCCCCGAAAAAGAAAACAAAAACAAAAAACAAAATCAAAGGACAAAAGGGCTTCATACAATACAGTATCAAAAAGTAAAAGGAACACACTAAATGCACAAGCTGGTGGCAAGTAAGTCCATAGCCTGTTGTGATAGGTCCATCCAGCATCAATCAGATTTCTTCTCATCTGTTATCTCAAGGTTATTTACAGACCTGTGGACTAAAAAGAGTATCTCATGGCAGGGTGGGCAGGCTTCAATCATTGGTTTCGGGATCTGTCTGCGCCATGTAGGCATCCAACTCAGCATCCAGGTGTCCTTTTGTTTTCGACATGTATGCATCCAATTGGTTGTTCAGCTGCTCCTTGGTCAATACAGGGCGAGCAAGGGCACCTCTCCCTCGTCCATGGTCTCGGCCTCAGCCTCCAAAGCCCCCTCTTCCCCGACCTATCATACCCCGACCTTTACCACCGATTCCGCCACGACCCATAGCTCCACGTCCTAGGACCCCTCTCCCAGGACCTCCATGACCTTGAACACCACCTCTTCTTAAGCCCATTCGGGGAGCTACGGCTCATCCACCTTGGAGCAGGTTTTGGCCTCGGAGTGACATCCTGCCCCTAAGCAGGGTTCTGGTGGCACGTCCCCCACGTAGTCCTCCTCTGAGTAAGCCTCTCTGGATTATGGGTAGGTCTCGTCCTCCAATTGCTCCCCTGGCCAGGGCCCCTATGGGTCGGCCTAACCGTGCCTGGATGTTACTCTTACCCAGGCGCTGCTTTAAGCTCTTCTGCTTAAGCTTTAATGCCGCCTGGACAGAGGGTCTATTCTCCATCTGCTGGGCCAGTCTTCTGTTTCTGGCACTGGCTAGCTGCTGTTGTTGCTGCATCGAAGCCCGAATATTCACTGGCGTCGGCTGTTTGTTCTTCAGCATATTAGTAAAGCTTCAAGGTCGAACAAAATGGATGTTTAAATAAAAGCTCTTTTACAAATATTTATTAGCATTTTCATGGCTTGCTAGACCAGGAGCTTCAGATCCCACAAACTTTTAAGTAAAGTGGTGCACTTAGATCAAGGCTGATGTGGGTTAAAGACTCCTCTACAAACTTGCAAGAATCAGAAACTTAGAAATGCAGCTAGGTGCAGCACATTCAACCAAAAGTGATAACAAGGGCTCAGGTAACAGCTTTTAGAGAGGTTGAAGGTATAAAAACACGCAATAGGCAGATATGATGACAAGAGACAGAAGATGTAGTTTCAAAGACAAACGAAGAAAGCCTAAACCTTAGGGGAATCCAAGGTGCATTCCAAGGCCAAATATGAGGAAGAACTAGAGCACCTTCAAAACTCACAGCAGTTAACGTACTCTCATAAATTACAGGAGTGTATCACATTT